TGCTTGATCACTGTCGTAATTGCATATGGACATAGTAATTAGGTTGTGCTTTCAAAGATCTTTTCACTAAGGACTTAGGATTAGATGCTCTAGAGAACCGGTAATCAACTGTTGTGAATTATGTTATTGCATTGATAAGTCAAAGTTGTTGTAGGAAGAACCGTTCACCTATCCTAGAAATCTATTCATATTTGTTTAACGTTCAACTATTGTACTTGTTTTCTTTTATTGCAATTTTTAACCCTAATTTTACCAAACAAAACAAAACCCCCAAAGTTTTTGTTTAATTGAAATTGATCCAAAACTTTGTATCGTCAAGCAGTCTTTGAGATTCGATACTTGGGATTTTCCTATTATTACTACAGTGGGCAGAATAATACACTTGCTATTTTTTCCTATCATCTCGCCTTGTGTCGAGTTACTTTTCCTTTAGGATTCACCTTCACCTTGTAAACCCACTTCACATCAATTGTCTTCTTGCCTTGAGGCAAATCGACAAGTGACCAGGTGTTGTTGACTTTGATGGAGTCTAACTCCTCATTCATTGTTTTCACCCACTTCGAATATTTCAATGCCTCGACTGCATTGACTGGTTCGACATCTGCGTATAAAGCATAGTGTACCAGCTCACCTTCTTCGTCGACCACATCATCTGATGTAATCATACATTCTTGTAATCTTGCAGGCATGTCTCTTGTTCGTCGAGGTCTGCGTAGGCTAGCTTCATCTCTGACTTGTTCCTATCAAACTTCACTTTCAACTTTAGTGGTTGGTTCTTCACAAAAGATTCTCACTGAATCCTTCTTGACATTCTCAGTCCAACCTCATTCTTTAAGCTCATCTATAATCACGTCTCTACTGATCACTACCTGCTTATTCACTGGGTCGAACAACTTGTAACCTCTAGTCAAATGATATCCTATCAAGATCATCTAATTTGACTTATCATCAAGCTTCCTTCTCAACTTATATGGCACATGTCTATGTGTTATAGATCCAAACACCTTCAAGTGACTGAGGCTAGGCTTGACACCAGACCAACATTCTTCTGGTGTGATTCCTTCAAGCTTCTTCGTCGGGCATCTATTTAATATGTATGTTGTTGTCGAAACCGCTTCTCCCCATAATCCTTTGGGTAGATGCTTTCCATTCAACATACTTTTCACCATGTTCATGATGGTTCTGTTCTTTCTTTCTGCAAATCCATTTTGTTGTGGAGTGTAAGGCGGCATCAGCTAATGCACAATCCCTTATTTTTCACATAATGCATCGAACTCTTTCTACACATACTCACCACCACCATCAGTCCTCAGAATTTTCAGCTTTCGGCTACTTTGTCTTTCGACCATAGATTTGAATTTGGCAAATACTATATCACATCACTTTTCTTCTTGATGGGGTAAGTCAATAGCTTTTAACTGTAATCATCTATGAACGTGACAAAGTATTTGTTGCCTGCAATAGAATCCACCTGGATTGGACAACATAAATTAGAGTATGTGACTTTCAGAATTGTCTTCGACTTCCTTTCTGCATCCTTGCTGAAGCTATTCTTGTGTTATTTTGACTGAACACGTTTTTCACAAACTTCACTTGGAATCTCGATTACAAGTAATCCTGAAGCCATATTTCTCCTCTTTAGCTCTCTGATGTCATTGAAGTTGAGATGGCCTAGTCGAAAATGCCATAACCGTTCATCTCTATTGGCTGCAGTTGCTACGCACTTGTGCTCCATCACATTGAGTTCAATCTTGAAGGTCCTATTATGAGACGTTAGAGCCTTCAAGATCAACCTACCACCTGCATTGAGAGCTTTCATCATCTTGTCTTCGGTCGACACCTTGTAGTTCTTTTCGACTAGCTGTCCTATACTGAGTAAATTACTCTTCATGCCTGGTATGTACAACACATTGGAAATTGTTAACCTCTTGCCATCTTTCCACATAATCAAACATTGCCAATACCTTCAACAGTTAGAGTATTGTCATTTTCAAATTTCATTATGTTCTTTTACGAGGGCTTCATGCTGATAAACCAATCTTTCCTTCCAGTCATGTGTGATGGACATCCTAAGTCCAAGTACCACTGGTCCTGAAATTTTTCTTTGTTTCTTGTTGTGACCATTAGCAACATCTCTTCTTCTTCATGTTTCGCCATCTTTGCATCAGTTTCTTGATTCTTCTTCTTTTCTCGATATTTACTAAAATAGTGACCATACTTTTGATAATTGAAACACTGAATGTGACTTTTGTCAGGATTTCGTCCACCACATCTTCCTCTACCTGCAGCACCACCTCTTTAATTTTCTTGGTTCCAGGGTTTTCTTTGATTTGACCAGTCGAATTGTTGTAGCCTCATCTACCTTTGTTGTCATTCCAACTTCCTTTGCCTTTCCTTTCCTTTTTTGACTGCGCTTGCAAAGGCATATCACTTTTCGACTTTCCTGCAGCTCTCTCAGCCATCCTTTGTTCATGAGACTCAAGTGTCACTTAAAACTCTTCCTTCATCAATGTTGATAAGTTTTTCGACTCTTTTATGGCTACTACCATGTGGTCAAACTTTGGAGCCAACGACCTCAAGATCTTTGACAATTGATCTTAATGTCAACACTTCTCCACATACCTTGATTTGATTCACTAGCTTTGTAACTCTAATGAAGAAATCTGTTATACTTTCACTTTCTTCCATCTGAAGCAATTCATAGGTTCTCTTGTGAATTTGTAACTTCACCTCTTTCACCTTTTATGCGCCTTCGAACGAATTTTCAAGAATCTCCCACGCTTCCTTCACTGATTCTACATCATTAACATTTTCAAAATCATCTGAATCTACACATTGATGGATTATAAAGGGAGATTTATAATCTTTCTTCTTCAATTCTTTGAATGCAACATTTTCTTAATTCGTCGTGCTTTCTGCAAGCGATGATACTCCTCCCTTCACAAGATCCCAAAGATCTTGATAATAGAAAATCACCTTAATCTGCTTCCACCAATTCTCATAATTATCTTTCTTGAGAATTGGAAGGTTTGTCGAAAAGTGACTGTTTTGATGATTCATCGCCATCACGATTTTTCTTCCTTGAATTGTAATCGGAGCTCTAGATATCATATGTTGAAAATTCAATCACAACCTATGGAGAATTTCACTCAATCAATCTTGATCTCAAGATTGTTTCAACTCACATAATGACAATGAAAGAAAAGTTTAGAAAGAAAGAAAGTAAAGGTTGGAGAAAAAGAAGATGAACAATTTTTTGCAGAAAACTCTCTGCCCACAAACTGTAGAAATCCTGTTATTTCACTTGCAACTGCAAACTGTGAATTACAAAATATGATGAGATGAGATGTTTACAAAATAAGGGTTTCTCACTATTTATAGATTTAGGTTAACTTGCACACTAAGTCAAAGCTCAAACTATAAAAGCCCAAAAATATCTAATCAAATCTAATCTTTTTAAAATAATAAATTACATATTTAACAATTTTCACCCTTCATCACCTACGACTAGAGATGAATTATTGAACTGTTATTATTCTTGTTAAAACTAAAGATTTATTCACTAAGAAATTTTGAATAAATAATATAGAAAATCGCTAGTCAAACATATAATAATTTCCATTGGCAAGATTAATTTAGAGTACTTAGAGAAAACAGCTTCGTTCGCAACATATTTAATCATCACATTTTTCTTTCAAGTAATTTATATTTATTTGATATTTTAGAAATACAATCAATCAATCCAAAACCTTTGTTCAACTAACTCATGAAATTAAAAGTCAATAAAATTAACAGGCTTTGAGTTTAACATTAGATAGTTTTACTGTTTTTATTATTTGTAACAATTTAGTACACTTACTAAAATTGCAATCGGCGACTTAATGGATTCTGAACAAAAATGTGAGTGTTGTGAGATCTCAAATGAGAACAATGTACAAAGATGCCAAGGTGTGGTATCACATGCTACATACCTTTATCCTACCTGCAACTCAAATGGAAACTGATACTATCAACAGATTGATGTTGGAATACGGCATCCTGAAAGCAAGGAAATCAATGTCAGACTCTTGATCCAACGAGAAATCCATAGGTGTTCCTTCACCAAGAAAAGGAGATTTATGTTCCCTTATATCATTACCAACCTCTCCCAAAGAATGGAATCCTCCTAGTAACAAAGCCCTTAGGAGGCTTATGAAAGTCTTTGGAGACGGCCAAAGGGAATGAGGCTGGAGCCATTTTGGGATTGACACAAACGAATTTCTTGAATTCCCTGAAGACATTTTGGAGGAACAACAACTTGCTGCAAAAAAAAAAAAGGAAAGCATACAGCAACCAACAATGTTACTAAGTCAAAAGAAGAAGAATCTAGGAAGATATTAACAACATCAGACTTTGTTAGAACACCATGATCATTTCTCATATCTTATCTGCTGATGATTGTTTCTTGTTATTTAGAGCAGAGGAAAATGAAGTGATGGTGTTATAAAACATCCTTACCATGTAAGAAAAAGCTTCAGGCCAAGCTACCAACTTGCAAAAACCAGAAATCAGTTGCCGCAGAAATGTAACACCAACAATGAAGAATGCAATATGGAACTTACTAGGTATGCAACTGGTGTTGGGGACAGGCAACTATCTTGGTTAATAGGTATATCAAAATTAGATACTCTTTCGTCAAAAAAATCTCACTATAAATCAAATTAACTTAATTAATGACAAATTTATTAACCATAATTTCATATACAGAACTGGAGCAGACAGCTTGAAGAAGAATACATGTACATCCAATTAAAATGTGAAAAGAATAACAATGGTATAAACTTTTGTATATTTCATATCAGTTCAGAATCTTCATTTGTTTTCTTACCTATAATAGACAGATTCATAATCTATAAACAACAGAACCTCTAGAGCAATGAACAGAAACTTAGTGGAAAAGAAAAGAACTTCGAGTTCTTTCAGAATTTCCTTGATATCGAGCTTATGCTTCTTGAATTTCACTAATCTGTTTGAACAAACTGAAACATGAAATGCACTCCATTAGCCACATCATATAGCATGAGCCCTATTCTACCACCAACCCAACTTCCCAATTGACTTCCAATAAGATAACCAAATCGTCCAAGTCTTTGCTCACCCATGAATCCTCCACTATAAGTTCCAAACAAAGTACCGGTTCCCCTGAGGAATCCCTCTGTAAAGGTACCACCGTAGTAAACAGCTTCGAAAAAGTCCCATCCGGAGGAGATGATGGGACCTATGATCCGGTTGGCCTTACGTGCAGCCAATTTCGCCGCTTTTTTACCTTGTTTCTGAGCATATTTTTCTGAATGAGCCGGTGACATACTCTGCGAAGCAGCATCAACAAGAGCAGATCGGATTGCGTCGTGCCTTGCTCCTTCAACATGAGCGGATCTAATATTGTTGACATAGAGCTTCACACTTTCCTTGACTCCACATGCTAAAGTTCCAGAGCCCAAATCAAAACAATTTAAGAATGTAAACTGTCCACTTTTGGATGACGCTTTCTCGCCAACAAGCTCCCTGCATTTTTCAGCTGAATAGAGTTGTGAGTTATGAAGCACATACACAAACACGGATACCGGACAGGACAACGACACTGACACAACTGGTAATAATTTGAACAAATGAATAAATTAAAAGTAATCACAAGTGTTGGTGTCATATCATTGTCCGACACACTTTTTTTCAGAGGTGTCGATGCTACATAGAGTGTGAGCATAAGCAGAAATTCTATGTTCCCAGGGCTTCCATAGTCAAAAGAAACCACTTTACTTAACATTTGATGGAAACAAAAGTTGCTTAATTAAGACCTTATTTAGATAACAACTTAATTAAGCATTTATAGCATAAACACTTATCATAATACAAGAGCTTATATGTAAGTTACTTCTATAACAAACAGTCTCACAAGTGTTAATGTTGGTAGAAAAACTAGATAAGCCTTTTTTAGCCCTAATATCCGCATCATAATAAAACATTTACAAAAACAAACTCAAAGCAATAGATAGAAATAGAATCATCCTAGAAAAGAAGCATTCATCTTCCATCTCCTAAATAAGAATGCTAATTTTCGGGGTTATGCATCGGATTTTAACTTAAGATCTCTAAGAACTATCATCACATACAAAATACTGTGATTAATTAACATCAAAGCCTTATAAAAATCAATACAGATATGAGAAAACAATAATCGTTAAACGTTGAATTGTAAGTGCATAAATAAAATGGTAAAAAAAATGCTACCTGTGATGCTAAGAACAATGATGGAAGAGACAATTACAAGAAACCGAACCCTGTTCTTCTGAAAATCCATGGCATGTCATTAAGAGTTACAGGGAACATAACACAATTCTTAACAAAAAATTAGCTAAGGAATCGTTGAATGCTTCGAACAAGAGGGAGAATCGGGTTAACAGATTCTTGCTTTGAGGTTCATGCAATCAGAAAGGGAGAGAATAATGGGCCCAACTATGTTTGGGCCGTAATTTTTAGGTTGAATGAGTGGAAGTTTTACCTCGTACCCCTACACTTGTACCTATACCCCTACATTAAAAATTTTTGGACTAAAATATCCTCGTATAAAAATTTATTATTTTTTAATTTTTTTATATTTTTTTATTTGTTTACCGGAAGACTTTTTGGAAGTCTTCCGGTTCACATTTTTTTCGTATGTTTACCGGAAGACTTTTTGGAAGTCTTCCTGTTCATATTTTTTCGTTTGTTTACCGGAAGACTTCCTTTTTGGAAGTCTTCCGGTTCATATTTTTTTTTAATTTGTAATTAATATTTAAGATTTATTAATTTTATAAATTTAGTGAATTTTTGAATATTATACTTAAAATATAAAAATTCTATAAATAGAGAATTATTTTCAGAATATTTTCTATTTGCTATAATTATTAGAATACAATGAGATTAAAATCATTTATTTTAAATGATCATAATAGTAAAATTTTCTCAAATATCTTATTAATCTTAAACATTAATAAATAAAATAAATTTAAATATAGGATATAAGTTTACATTATTCAATATATTTAATCAAATGAAAACATATGTGATAAATAAATAATGTATTTTAACTTAAAATGATCACAATAAGTTAACTTGCAAAATAATATAAGTAATAAATTAATAATGTATTTTATTTAAAATAATCACAATAATAGAATACGCAAATAATGTGTTTTATTTATAGGACTGATATAGTTTTATTGATTATTTAATTTTAAATACTACTATGAATATAGTATTTAATCTATACTTTAAAACTCACATAATTATAAATATAAAAAATATTATTTTATTACCCATATTTTTATTTAATTAAAAAAATAAGAATATAAATTTATTATTTGTTTTTCATTTTCGTTTGATCTTTTTTTTATTTATAAATTTTTTGCATATTCTATACTGTGCTTACTTTAAATAAAATATATTATTTATTTTATTAAAAATATTAAATAAAGTGAAATAATTAAAAAGATCAAACAAAAATGAAAAACAAATAATAAATTTATATTCTTATTTTTTTAATTAAATAAAAATATGGGTAATAAAACAATATTTTTTATATTTATAATTATGTGAGTTCTAAAGTATAGATTAAATACTATATTCATAGTAGTATTTAAAATTAAATAATCAATAAAACTATATCAGTCCTATAAATAAAACACATTATTTGCGTATTTTATTATTGTGATTATTTTAAATAAAATACATTATTAATTTATTACTTATATTATTTTGCAAGTTAACTTATTGTGATCATTTTAAGTTAAAATACATTATTTATTTATCACATATGTTTTCATTTGATTAAATATATTGAATAATTTAACTTATATCTTATATTTAAATTTATTATATTTATTAATGTTTAAGATTAATAAGATATTTGAGAAAATTCTACTATTATGATCATTTAAAATAAATAATTTTAATCCTAGTATTCTAATAATTATAGTAAATAGAAAATATTCTGAAAATGATTCTCTATTTATAGAATTTTTATATTTTAAGTATAATATTCAAAAATTTACTAAATTGGTCTTTATATAAAATTAATAAATCTTAAATATTAATTACAAATTAAAAAAAAACATGAACAGGAAGACTTCCAAAAAGTCTTCCGGTAAACCAAAAAAATATGTACCGGACGACTTCCAAAAAGTCTTCCGGTAAACATACTAAAAAAATGTGAACCGGAAGACTTCCAAAAAAGTCTTCCGGTAAACAAATAAAAAAATATAAAAAAAATTAAAAAATAATAAATTTTTATACGAGGATATTTTGGTCCAAAATTTTTTAATGTAGGGGTATAGGTATAAGTGTAGGGGTATGGGGTAAAACTTCCTGAATGAGTTGATTATCGACCCAATGGATGTGGGAATTTTAACAAATCTTGAAATTCAATTCAAAATACAAAGACATTTCTAAAAAGAAAATTCAAAAATAAAATATACTTAACTCTAAAATAATTTTATATTGACTATCAATCGTCATATATTTTGTCAGATCTTATTGTAATTTTTAAATTAATTATATGAGATGTCTAAAATTATTTTACACACAGCCATTAAATTCAAACAAAATATGGTAGAAAATTTTCAGTTAACTATCATTTGAAAAACAAATCTTCATATTTTAAAATAGTTGAAAATATAAAATTTCTTTTTTCCTAGTTTTCCATAAAATGCAGTTTTAGGCCACGGGTTTTCTTTTTCTGACCTCGATTTTCAAATGTTGTCTAAACTCATTTTTGATATACCATTTGCAAATTTTCTATAAGATTTATCGGTTAAATCAGATTTATATTACACTTCCCTCTAAGATTATGAGTCGTTTTCATTCATAAAATGAATTACAAAGTTATCCACTGCCGTTATTCCTTTAGCAGAGTTGGCAACACAAGTTTTGTTTGTATCTTTTATCAGAAGAAGAAAAATCAAATGTCAAATACCTACTAGAGTTATTGTTACATGTATACAAATTAAATTACAAACTAGATATAAAGCACAAGAATCATGTGCAGCAGCAGCATAGATCATTTTGAGATGTTAATAATCAAGCTTTGTGCTTCCATATTTAATTGTAGCTATTTCATTTATTTATGACCGCGACAGCATCGAAGCCGTACAATAAGATCCTTTTAGACCTGTATACCTTGATGAGGAATGTTGGCAACCGTATGACAGTGATCGTCTTCACCTGGCAAAACTGTTCAAAATGCCAAACACATCCATTTGAGCACAAAATCTGGTAATTTAATACATTTAAGCATCATCTTCCTTTTTGTCCAAAGAAGCTGATAGATAACTCATGATGAAACCGTCTAGATCTCCCTCAAGGACAGCGTCAGTATCTGAAACCTCGTAGTTAGTTCTGAGATCTTTCACCATACGGTAAGGCTGTATCATACATAAAATAGTTTACGTAATGATCAGATGGTCGAAATATATCAAGAAAATTAGGGGAAATGTAAAAATCTTAAACCTACATGAAGCACGTAACTACGTATCTGACTGCCCCAGGTTATGTCGGTGAGAGATTGTGTATGCTGTGAATTCAACTGCGCCTGGCGTGCCATCTCCAGTTGGTTTAGTCTTGACTGAAGCACAGCCATTGCCGAAGACTTATTCTGATGTTGCGATCTGTTTCAAAATAACAACCAAACAAAATATTTTTAACACGAGATCCAATGCATGAACTTGTACACATTTCATACCTTTCATTCTGACAAGTTGCAGTAACTCCTGTAGGAATATGAGTTATTTTTACAGCACTTTCAGTAGTATTAACATGCTGTCCACCAGCACCACTAGCGCGGAATCGTTCAATTCGAAGATCAGATTCGTTAATCTGTACACTGGAAGATTGATCACCAAGGTTTGGAATGACTGCTACAGCAGCAAATGAAGTATGTCGGCGTTTGTTACTGTCAAACGGTGATATGCGCACCAGCCTGTGGACTCCTATTTCTGATTTGGCATATCCAAATGCAAACTCACCGTCTACTTTAATTGTAGCTCGCTGAAAAAATATACTGAATTTTGTTCAGAAACAAGCAGTGAGAACTATTTGAAAAAAAACTAAAATAGCTGTAAGTGACACTTGGAGGATGGTAAGAAGAAGAACCTTGATTCCTGCAACCTCGCCAGGCATTTCTTCCATTACAGTAACTTTATAGCCACGTTGTTGAGCCCATGATTTATACATCTGCATGATCATTGAAGCCCAGTCCATGCTCTCAGTACCACCAGCCCCAGCCTGAACCTACATAAAAAAAATAAAGCAAGCTACGTCATTTAGCAAGATATTATTGTCTAGAGCATGCAAAAACCAAGTTATAAGACCTATATTGGGGTTACGGATATAAGGGTACTTTTCAAGAAAAGAACTAATGCAATGCAATATTAGCAACTTTTATACATCTATGACTGCAAATAAACCTCAATGTAGCAAGAACAAGAATCGTGCTCCTCAGACAACAATGCCTCAATTTCTTTCTCTTTTGCATTTCTTCTCATGTTAAGCAATGCTTTCATTGATTCCTGAAAAGGAAGACAGTTTCTGCATGAATATGAGTCGGCGTATATCAGTAAAAAAGGATGGTTTATCTAACACTACAAACATTGAAAGAGAAGAAACTACAGTGAAGCATGCTTTCGATATTTAGTTCTGCAATCTGTATGACAAAATGATGCATATATCCTCTAAATTAGATTTATCTCGCAGTATGTTGAGCTCAAACAACTATCAAACATTTCAATACAAAACTAAATAATCCACAATCATTTTAAACTTTCTTACTAGCTCTACTGTTCAGTCATATTATTTTCTACTTAACTCTACTTTGTAATCTAGTGCTGAATTATAAGATACCGTTAGATTACTAGCTTACCTAACAGCATAAACAATAGTGAGACTGACTAGGAGAGCTCAGAAAAAAATCTAATTACACGACCATAAGTTGTTTTCAGCTTATTACTATAAGCTCTCCAGGATAACTTATCCATGAAAAAATAGCTCATAAAAACAGCTATTTACATTACACTACCATAAGTTGTTTTCAGCTTATTTCTATAAGCCCTCTGGATAACTTATCCGTAAAAAATAGCTCATAAATAAAGCTAATTACACGACCATAAGTTGTTTCCAGCTTAGTACTATAAGTTCTCCGGGATAACTTATCTATGACAAATAGCTCATAAAAACGGCTAATTACACAACCATAAGTTGTTTTCAGCTTATCTCTACAAGCTCTCTGGGATAACTTATACCTTATATAAAAACAGTTTCCCTTTGTTTTATCTTTTGTTATGGAAATACTAGCTTATATATAATCACTTATATGATAAACACTTATTCTACAACCTCTTAAGTACAAGACCCTTTTCTATGATATTCAAACCCTAAGGTGAATGAAAACAGATAAATACATGCCTAGATGATGAAGGGAGTCCCCACCAATTCCAACTCCTCGTCATTCTCTTCACGAGCAAGCTTTATCATTTCAATATGCTCAAGTAACTCTCTCTCCAATCCATTCACCTCTTTCATTTTCCCAAGCAACGAACCATGTTCCCTGTTAATTTTCCCAGCACGAACAGGATCATCCCAAAGATCTTCCTTATTCAGCTGAACCGATAACAAACTCAACCTAACCTTCAACTTCTTCCACTGCCACCATAAACACAAACACAGTCTAATCAAATTCTCCCAAACATTAAAACTATGATCATGATTAATTGAGGGTTTAATTTACCTGTAATCGGCGTTTAATCAAATGAATAGATTGAGCTATAGCTGCGGCGTGACTCTTCCAATCACCGTCGTTTTCATCAAGAATGGTCCAGTTATTGGCTAGAATTCCTTCGACGGTGAGCCCATCGGAGGTTGAGTGTTCGGCGGCGGCGGGCTGAGAGGCCAAAAAGCGAGCCCGTGTGGGAGATAACCCGTTTGTGTAACTGTTTCTTGAAAGCGACGTGGAAGAGAACAGAGAAGCGGTGTTGTGGGGATGGGAATGTGATAGGTGGCGACAACAAAACAACGTTGGGGAAGCCGTTCCGACAAGTTTGTATAGAAACGAGGAAAGGGATTTTCGTAGGAAATGCGACATACTAGGAAGGAAATGATTCTATGAAGAAGAAAAGAGAATAACTTCAAGTTCTTTTTTCTCTCTGGTTTTTAATGGAAAGAGGAAAGTGAGAATGAAGAAGCAAATGCTGCTGCAGGGGAAAACGAACAAGTTGATATATGTCCAATGGGCCTAGCACGTTAGTAGTTATGGGCCTAATTCACATGAATTTGGCATGTTTTATAATCTTGTGTCCAATTAATTAAAGATAATTAATTCTCCCGCTGATTAGTGGGACTTTGTTTAAATATTGAGAAAAGTTATATATGAATTGGCTCAACACAAGGATAGTTAGCACCTAGGAAGATTTGAATATGAAATCTAGAGATGAGAACACTCTAGAGACTTAGGCATTTACCATTAGGTAAATTCTCGCGGTGAAAAACCAATAATGCCTCTAAAACTAAAAATTTAATATTAGGACACACTCAAAATGCAACTCATCAAAACAAATGATGTGTTCTTTTAGTTCCCACACTTTTAGCAAGCTTGGATTATGTCCCAAACTAATTACATTTGGAGTATAATTTCACGATCTCTAAGGGTCTTGTCCACTCTAATGAGATGTATTTTTAAGACATGTTTATATTAAAGTTTTGTAGTATTATAATTTCTTTAAGGACGTTTGTTATAGGTCCAGCCGTTTATTTGATCTAACAATCCTTAAATGCAAGGTTGATCTCAATTTGTATAATACTAAGACATGACCATTATGTGAATACAAGATTCTTGAGAATTTTTTTAAATATAAATGATTAACAATTATTTTTTGCGATCATCGCTTACATCTGACGAACTGAGAACTTTGAGTTATTGCTAGATATTGGATACTAGATATATGTATAGCAACCGGGGCAGGGCGGGCCGGTGACGATTTTTACTTCCCCCAAATCCAAACCCGAATCCCAAAATAATTCTTGTTTCCCGCCCAATCCCCATTGGTGATGAAGAATTCAAATTCAAATTCGTCCTAGGGTTGGGTTCAAGTATTACCGCGCTACCACCATCTATTTAGTAAAATAAATTTTTTTAAATATAAATATTTATTTTTCGAAAATAAATTTGCATTACAAATAATAAAATATCAAAATATCAAAAAAAAAATATATGCATACATTTCAATATTTTAAATAATAAATACAAATCAAAATATAAAAACATTAACCGCATATTTAATATTCTAAGTTATCAAAACAAAAATAATAAAATACATAGTAAAATAAACGAAACAGATTTAGGATGAGTACTAGTATCCTCATTACCTGACACGTTATTGTATTTCATATCTGAAACAAATCTACATTCGAATTCAAACTCAATCAAAGAAGATTTTCCCCGTCAAATTTAAGACTCGTTCAGGTGGGTACCCGCATGTATGAATTAGGTTGTCGTGCATAAATGGATATTAGATGTTGTTAGAGTTCGACAGTATAGGTGTAAATAGGCTAGGCTAGGCTTTAGAAGGCTTGAGTCTGGTCTACGATAAACTTACAAGATCTGAGTCTGACCTATGGCCTACTATAGACTTCTTTTTTTGGGTTAGCCTAGCCTTTTTAAAAGTTTGACCGGGTCTGAAAGCCTATTTAAAAGTTTGTTTTTTATTAAGTTTCAATTAATTCATGTTACTTAAAAAATCTTATATGTTAGTCTGTATATGCATATATAGGCCGACCTATTTAACATTTTTTCTAGTATATATGCATATGTAGGCCAATCTATTTTGTCTTTTTTCTAATATATATATATATATATATATATATATATATATATATATATATATATATATATATATATATATATATATATATATATATATATATATATATATATATATATATATATATATATATATATATATATATATATATATATATATATATATATATATATATATGTGCGTGTGTGTGTGTGTGTGCGCGCGCGCGTGTGTGGTCCTATAAGGTTTCATAAGTTTTTTTAATAGCTTAAGCATAACTTATTTAATTAAGGGTAATGTTAACTTGTGTCATAGGAGCACAAATTAAAAAATTCACTTATAGAAAGTTTGTATAGAAAAAAATAATTAAAAAATAAATTCTATAATTTTATTAAAATTAGTGCACAATTTCCAAAATAATATTTTTTTTTTATTTAATTTTTAATGTGTGCCTATAAGACACAAGTTAGTATTATCCATTAATTAAATAGATTTTTGAAATTTTCTAAAATTGACTTTTTTATTAAATATGTTGTCTTAATCTGATCTTAAATAGGCTAGGTTATAAATCCTTGTAGATCGGTCTAATTTATTTCATCCCTATTTGCTTTGTCATTAAAAAACTAGTGGAAGACTCGTGCATTTGCACAGGTATTGGTATGGAACGTGCATTGTTGTTTAAAAAAAATAATTAAAAATGAGAACATATAATTGTGTTAATTATGAAAACATAGTGTGTTATAGTTTAGGTTAGAAATTTCAGAATGTCATATTAAAACAAAACATAATGATGACATAAGAATTGGCAATAGAATAAACGTCGCACGACAACCGTCACTTACGACTTCAAGCATTATCTTATACCTATTTATGCAAGTTTATTATGTCCACATAGTATTGTAAGATATGGAAGGTCTAAATGGAAAGTGTTAGTAAAGAATGACCTGTAAATGTCAGTATCCGTATTATGGCCAGCACCACATATGTATGGTGGTTGTTGTCCCTTGGCAACCCTAGGACACTCATGACATGATTGGTAATACCAACCCCCGTGGGATGATTTAAGTTTGTCTGTCTTTGCCACCGTAACACATTGAGTAATCTGTTCTTTAATGAAATAATTTATATTTTGTACAACATAAGTAAGAAAAAAAATAGAGAATTATGACAGAACAACAAAGATGAAGGCATAATAATAGTTGGTACATCTTTAAGTTGCACAATATCCCTTAGATGAAGTATTATGGCCTTATACATGAATTTGTCATTAGGGGTGAGTTGAGAAGAACCGGAGGCCTGGGACCAGTTCTTTGACAGTGTTGTCAAAGTATTACATGATCCCTCTTTGGCTTCCATTGTTGGGATCCTATGTTATAACACAGTAAAAAAGGATAAGCATCAATTAATGGTATGTGCATGATACATAAATACGGTAAAATATAGATGATATAATATGCAAGAAATCATTATCTCTTTATAAATTCCTTAATCTCAGGTAAGTCATCATTGATGTGCAACTTAGTTACATTGAATGTGTTTGAAACACATAAAGGATACTTACCTAAAAAACCATTTTAAAAGAAAGATTGAAGTGGCGTAAATAAATCATACACAATAAATATGTAACTGAAGAATATAACAGTTCTATACCTTCCCCTTTTACTTTAGCAAATTTTAAAATGATTATTGTTGGTTCCAAAGTCTCTTTTGCAGTCTGGAGGTAGTGATGAAACTGAATAGCATAACTTTTCCACAATGTACAATGTATTGTGTTGTTACTGCATGAATATGAAATAAGATGGATATCAAAAGGTTATACAGAAGGAGACAGAACACCAAAATACAAAGACATGATAAGTAGGGATATAAACCCCAAGTCCTTCAACACCAAATTAACTTGTTATTTTTGGTGCCCACTCTGCATCTGTGTGTAGCCAATGTCGGTTACAATGCCCATAACATCTGCAGCATATACACCACTGTAAGAAACAAACATTTATGACAGAGAGTTTATTATACAATATGAAATATATTCTTTTATGCGAGATATTGGATCGACTCTAATATGGTCGAAGGGTAGCTTTTGGTTCGACAGGAATTAAGCATGAGGTCGAAGTATATTTGCATGCTGATGTCGGAGTAATGCATGTTGTAGTCAAAGTTTGTTCTAACATGCATTATTCAATATTGCTAGGTTTTTTAGCATGTTGAATTGGGCCTTGCTTGTAAGCCCAATTGTTTAAGTTAGCTTGTACCTTAAGTTAGCTTGTAATGGGTAATTGTTAAAAAGCCCATTAGATTAGTGTGTTATTTTTCTTATAAATAGGATGTTAGTTTCTCAATCTTGGCATAAGGAAAAATAGGAAGATAAAATCCTAATTTTAAGAGAGAGAGTTTATTTTATTATTCTTGTATACTTGTAATCTTGTTCTAAGAGTAAGGAAAGAATCGCAGTTTATAACCAATCCTTGTTGTTCCTTGTTATTTTACCTTGTTATCTTTGTTAACCCTAACCCTTGTGTGTTTTTTGATCATAAAGAAATCGTTTATACTTTGTTTCAAGGTACCTGATTCACAACAAATTGGTGCGGTGAACATGGAGAAGATGCCTTCAACAAAGTATGAGATTAAAAAGTTCACCGGAGTGAACGACTTTGGTCTGTGGCACTTGAAGATGAAAGCCCTACTGGTTTGACATGGTTGTTTGGAAGTGTTGAAGGGAGAGGTGGCCATGGACGCTGCATTAACAACAAAAGAAAAGACATACATGATTAAGAAAGCCCACAGTGCAATATTGTTAAGCCTTGGTGATAAGGTTCTTCGACAGGTACCAAAGGAGACTACAACATCGAGATTATGGGTGAAACTTGAAAGTTTGTACATGACCAAATCTCTGGTGAGTCGACTCTACCTGAAGCAAGCTTTGTATTTATTCAAGACGAGTGAAGATAAAATGTTGGTTGAGCAGTTGAATATGTTCAACAAGACGATTCTTGATCTTGAAAACATTGATGTGAAGATCGATGATGAAGATCAAGAAATGTTGTTGTTGTATGATTTGCCCATAACACATGCTCACTTCAAAGAAACTCTCTTGTATGGAAGGGAGTCCCTGACCTTTGAAGAAGTTCAATCAACCTTGTATTCTAAGGACTTGAACGAACGAAAGAAGCACAAACCTTCGACGGAGGGAGAAGGTTTGACAGTTAAGGAAAAATTCTTGCGAAAGGATGGTAAGTTCGACAAAACGAAAAGTAAAAGTCAATAGAAATATTATAGTAACGAAACATCTGGTATTTGATGCTATCACTGTAAGAAGGAGGGTCACACAAGAAAGGTGTGCCCAAATGCCTGAAAGATCATGCAGGTAATGGCAACACATACATTGTTCAAAATGACTTCGACTCATCTAATGTTCTAGGGGTTTCAAGTGGTGACTCGAGAAAAGAGTGGATTATGGATTCAGGTTGCACTTGGCACGTGACTCCAAAAAGAGAATTGTTCAAGAATCTATGTAATCAAGATGGTGGATCTGTGCTATTGGGAAACAACAAATCTTGCAAAATTGCAGGTATTGGATCTGTGAGATTCAAGCTCCATGATGAGTCAATAAGGTTATTGACTGAAGTCAGGTACGGACCTGACTTGAAGAGAAATTTGATTTCTCTTGGTGAATTCGACAAAAAAGGATACATTATTCAAGGAGAGAAAAGTATCCTAAGAGTCATGAAGGGATCGAAGGAAGTCTTGAGAGGCGTGAAGAAACAAGGCTTGTATACCCTTGAGGCTGAGGTTGTAAGTGGTTCGATAAATGTTGCATCCATGAAACCTGTGTCGAAGACAGAATTATGGCACATGAGATTGGGTCATGTCAGCGAAAGAGGCTTGGTTGAATTGAGGAAGCAGAACCTGCTAGGACATGAAAATTTCAAAAAGTTAGAGATTTGTGAATCTTGTGTATTTGGTAAATCCTTTGGGGAAAAGTTTAACAAAGGCAAGCAAAGAATAAATGGATCCCTGGATTACATTCGTGCTGCTCTTTGGAGGCATGCAAGGAATCCTTCAAACTCGGTGCAAGATATTTTCTATCCATCGTTGATGACTATTCCAGAAAGTTATGGGTATTCATTCAGAAGATGAAGGATGGAACTTTTGAAAATTTCAAAAGTTAGAAGATTTTGGTCGAAACTCAAACTGGTAGAAAGGTTAAGAGGTTGAGAACCAACAATGGCCTTGAATTTTGCAATGAAGCGTTTGACAGTACTGTGTTGAGTCTGGGATTGCAAGGCATAAGACTGTAGCAGGTACTCCTTAAAAAAATGGCTTAGCTGAGAGATTCAATCGAACAATCCTTGAAAGGGTTAGATGCATGTTGGTTAGTGCTGGATTGAAGAAGGTGTTTTCGGTGGAAGCTGTTTCAAAAGCATCTTACCTGATAAATAGATGTCCCTTGACTGACTTGGGAATGAAAACACCTGAAGAAGTTTGGTCGGAAAATCCACCTAGTCTCGACAGACTAAGAGTATTTGGTTGTATGACCTGTGCTCATATTAGACAAGACAAGGTCAAACTTAGAGCTTCGAAATGCATGTTCATGGGATACCCTAAAGGAGTCAAAGCTTATAGGCTATGGTGCCTAGAGTCAGGTCACATGAGGTGCGTCACCAGTCGAGATGTAGTTTTCAATGAAGCAAAGATGACTTTCAAGAAAACTGATGATGCTGATGAAGAGCTGGAACAGGGAGAGATTCCTGTTGAGGTGGAGAATGTTGATGCTGAATTGCGTACCCCAGATGAAGTCGAAGAAAAGGTAAAAAAATTTATCGAAGATGAGGAGATTGATAATGACTACCTGTTAGCAAGAGACAGGTCGAGAAGAGTCATCAAACCACCTCAGAGACTTCAGTATGCAGATCTTATAGCAAGTGAGGTTCTAGATGAAGAACTTAGAGACTATAAGGAAGTTACGAGGAGTCGAAAGAAGACTGAGTGGATGAAGGCCATGGATGATGAGATAAAATCTCTTTATGATAACAACATTTGGAAACTGATTAAGAAACCCGCTGGAGCCAGGTTAGTCAGCTGTAAATGGATTTTCAAAGTTAAGGAAGGAATCGAAGGAGTGGCGTCGAAGAGATACAAGACAAGATTGGTTGCTAGGGGGTTCACTCAGAAAGAAGGTGTCAACTTTAATGATATGTTCTCTCCTATTGTGAAGCACAAATCCATTCGAATGTTGCTTTCCGCAGTGGCACAATTCGACCTTAAACTGAAATAGATGGATGTGAAGATTGCGTTCTTGTATAGTGATTTAGATGAAACAATCCTGATAAGGCAACCTGAAAGGGTATGTCGAAAAAGGGAAGGAAAATTATGTGTGCAAGCTGAATAAATCCTTATATGGACTGAAACAATCTCCTCAACAGTGGAATAGGAGATTCGACAAGTTCAGGGTACACATAAGTTTCATCATAAGTCAGTTCGACCACTGTGTTTACTTCATATTTTGACCGGGTAATTCATTTGTTATTTTGTTGCTCTATGTGGATGATATTCTAATGGCAAGTAACAATGTTGAAGAAGTAATGGGGGTGAAGGCTAAACTCAATAAGGAGTTCGACATGAAGGATCTGGGAGTTGCGTCCAGGATTCTTAGGATTGACATCCGAAGAGATAGAAAACAGTCGAAATTATGCTTATCTCAAGAGGCATACCTACAGATGGTTTTCGAAAAGTTTGGCATGTCGCATTCAAAGCCTGTTGTGACTCTGACAAACCCTCAATTCAAGCTGAGTATAAATCAGTGTCCCAACACTAATGTTGAAAGAATTTATATGAATAACATTCCATATGCTAACATAGTAGGTTCTTTGATGTATGTTATGGCCTGTACTAGACCCGACATATCATATGCAGTAAGTCTTGTAAGTAGGTACATGACGAATCCTGGAAAGGCTCATTGACAAGCATTAAAGTGGATCTTAAGGTAAATAAATGGGTCTTTGAATAGAGTCCTAATTTATGGTGGAGCCTTGGGCGAAGATAATAAAGCAACAATTGAAAGATATGTCGACTCTGATTATGCAAGTTGTATGGATTTTAGAAAATCTATTTCTGGATATATGTTCACTATGTTTGAGACAACAATCAGTTGGAAAGCAACACTTCAGAAGGTCGTTGCCTTATCAACCACTGAAGTGGAATATATTGCTCTAACTGAAGCTATGAAGGAAGCATTCTAGCTTGAAGGTTTTGCAAAGGAGCTAAAACTTCAAGGTCGAGTTATCATTGTTAAATGTGATAGTCAAAGTGCAATACACCTGACGAAGAATTCAGCCTATCTTGAGCAAACCAAGAACATTGATGTGAGGCTGCATTTCATCAGAGGGGTAATCGAGCGTGGAGAAGTTCAAGTGCTGAAGGTTTCGAAAGATCATAATGTTGCTGATATGATCACCAAGACATTACCCAGTTGCAAGTTTTTTCACTGTATGCAGTTGATAAAGCTACATGAAGAAAGCTAGTTCCTTGATGTTATAGAGTTAGATCAAAGATGGAGATTTGTGAGATATTGGATCGAACTCTAGTATGGTCGAAGGGTAGCTTCTGGTTCGACAAGAATTAAGCATGGGGTCGAAGTATGTTCACATGCTGATGTCTAAGTAATGCGTGTTATAGTTAAAGTTTGTTCTAACATGCATTAGTCAATATTGTTAGGGTTGTTAGCATGTTGAAGTGGACCTTACTTGTAAGCCCAATTGTTTAAGTTAGCTTGTAATGGATAATTGTTAAAAAACTCATTAGGTTAATGTGTTATTTTTCTTATAAATAGGATGCTAGTTTCTCAATCTTAGCATAAGGAAAAATAGGAAGATAAAATCCTAATTTCAAGAGAGATAGATTATTTTGTTATTCTTGTATACTTGTAATCTTGTTCTAAGAGAAAGGAAAGAATAGCGGTTTATAACCAATCCTTGCCGTTCCTTGTTGTTTTACCTTGTTTTCTTTGTTAACCCTAACCCTTGTGTGTTTGTTGATCATTAAGAAACCGTTTATACTTTGTTTCAAGACATCTGATTCACGAGAATATGCATGAATGTTATGATTAGGGAGTTGTCTTAATTTCATATGGTTGTTGAACTTGCACGTGCATCATTTGTTGTCAAGAGGCAATGCTTGTTAGTTCCATGGGAACTAGTGACTTGTCCCAAACCTAGAGAGGGGTTTGACAAGAGGTTATTTTGTTATTCTTGTATACTTGTAATCTTATTCTAAGAGTAAGGAAAAAATAGCAGTTTATAATCAATCCTTATTGTTCCTTGTTGTTTTACCTTGTTATCTTTGTTAACCCTAACCCTTGTGTGTTTCTTGATCATAAAGAAACTGTTTATACTTTGTTTCAAGATAAAAAGATCCTTTTTCCATTTTCCAGTAATAATATCAGCAAAGGGTGTGAAGATCAACTTCTTTGGAGGTATGTCGTGCTTATTTTTGTCACAAACTGTAGTACCACTGGTGAATATCAACACATATTTGTGGCTAGACGATATGAACATGACATCATTCAGAATGACTTGGAAATTTGCAATACTATATGTGTTATGGACCGTCAACATAAAATCAAAAGCTTGTTTAAACATCCTTGGAACTTTTATTTTAATGTCAGTACTTTGAAATTTACAAAGATGTATGAAAAATACTCACACAATATATGAAACACATTTCTATTTTTAAATGCAGAAAAATCCATATATGGCATGTCAAGTATGTAAGTTATGTAACAAACGAAAATAGAAAGCGTGAAGAAAGTTCAAGAAAAATCACGTCTTTATCAATCACACTTATCTCAAAGTGTTCTTTATTCCTCGAAACCACATTCCACTTGTGATAAATTCTCATCGCAATCTTCTAAAGCTCCTTACCATCATTGATGTCTTTAACAATTGAGAAGGGTCTTGCCATTGTTGTTGTTGGTGAGTTTGGAAGACCAAAAGTTGGTGTATTGTTTAGAAGATGGGAGACAGAGAGTGTATTTTTTGTGTTTGAAAAATGGATGTGAAAAGAAGAAGAGTTCAAGCGCAACTTCCCATGATATGATGCATTGAAAACAAAACTTTGTTTTCACCATGTCAAGTCTCACCTAAAGCAAAAGAAGGTGATATTCCCTAGAAACCTTATTAGTTACAGCAAAAAGTTGAAAATGTGAACTAACTGAGCACTGTTCAGTCACGTTTAAGAGAAAGTTTAGGGTGTGTGGTGCAAATGACATAGTTAGTATTGAATTAGAATATGATTTGATTGAAAATTGTTAGTTTTTGACTCAATTTACCCCTAATTTTGTGAGTTAGCGTGTTTAGAACAAATGTTAGTTTTGTATTAATCATAACACATAGTTTTCTTATATTATAGATTAATAATATAATACGAATGTCCAAAATTGACACCACTGTAGTAAACAAATCAGGTTTATTAAATTAAAATAAAATCTGTTATTTCTAAAGCCATCCAATAAGATCCAACGGTCAGAAATATCGTGATGACGAGGGTAAGTGGAATCCAATTCTATAACAAACCGGGCGAAGCAGTCACCAGTCACACAACTCCCACATGTGAATAGCCATCACACAAGTTGCAACAAAACCAAACGCAAACTTAACAAACTTGTTTTCTCTCTCCTCTGGTTTTGGGGTTAGGTTAGGTCATTCAACACTCAATACGTCAATTTTGTCTCACTTTGATACTTTTCCCCTTTTTCAATTTCAATTCGATCGTGAAAAACAATGTTTTTGGTCGATTGGTTTTACGGTGTTCTAGCATCGCTTGGGTTATGGCAGAAAGAGGCTAAGATCTTATTCTTAGGTCTCGATAACGCCGGCAAAACCACCTTGCTTCACATGCTCAAAGACGAGGTTCGTTTTCAATTTCATGGTTTTGTTTTGATTTTCGTTTTCCTAATCATAAATCACCATAATTGTTGTTTACGAATTGGTTAGTTTTTGTTTATAATACCTTAACAGTGGCGGATCTGTGATTAGTTGAATATTTTGTAGTCTAAGGGATTCATAATTTTTACATTTGTCAGTGTTTGATGAGTTTTCTATGATCAAAAGGATATATTATACATGTCTCTGAATTAACAATTGGTTTTGTAAAATTGATTTTGGCTAAAAATGATTTGAAGATGAAGTGATTTATGTTTGGATAAATTTGTGCAAAAGTGAATTGAATGGTAAATTTTAGTCTAAATCATAGCTTGGAGTAGAATCAATTTTAGAAAGTATAATCAATTATACTCGAGAGCAATTAAACGTGTCAAAATCAATTTTACACATTATGGATGCTCCAAACTTGAAAACCAAACATACACTTAGATACCAAAACTAACATTATTTATTTGCTCTTTGCTTAAAATTATTTTATTACTTTTTCCAGAATATTGTTGATTTCTCTATTTCTTGCTGTTGATACAAATTTGCTATTCGATTAGTTTGCTTATTTACATTATTACAGTTGCATGATTGGAGTATTGCTATTTCCTTGACATCTAATATATGTTTAAATTTTATTGGGAATTCTCATTTGTGTCTTTTTCCACTATTTATACTTTTCTGGTTTTGGCAAGCAATGCATTTTGATATTTAGGAAGAGTGTGTTTTTGATATAGATCACTGAAATCGCGGTTGCGCTTGGGTTTCGCTATATTTTTATCTCTGATTCTTGCCGTGATGTTTCTTTTATTGTGAGAATTGGTTTTGCAGAGATTAGTCCAGCATCAGCCAACACAGTATCCAACATCAGAAGAGTTGAGTATTGGTAAGATCAAGTTTAAGGCTTTTGATTTGGGAGGTCATCAGATTGCTCGTAGAGTCTGGAAAGATTACTATGCCCAGGTCTCTTTTTCTTTACCTTAAGTCCTCTTTCGTGATTAGTGTAACCCCAGTTGGATACTATCTTAATCATGAAAAAATGGACGCCGTTATGCCTTCCCTAGTTATATTAAGTATTGTACTCCAATAGAATTATTTTATTCTTTGATTATGTTGCTAGACATGCTAATCTGTGTTTTGATCATTTAATAGTTTCAGTCAAATATGGATCTGCATAAGAGGTTTGATTTAGAAATTAGAATGTACGAACAAGTTATAACTGTTACCGAGATTAAGTCTTGTTCTTATCCTCCCCATTTAATAGCTTACACATGGAGTATGTTACTAAAAATGAAAAAACTTCTCTTGTTGCGCAATGTTATAAGAGACTCATATCTACAAATTTGCATGACTGCTGCTAATGCTAAAAATTGGTGATAGCACCTTTTCACTTTAGAGGATATTCTCATGAATAGACATTTCTTCCTCTGAATTAGCTTTTGACGTGATAACTACTAACTTGTTCAATGTTTTAACTTTTAACTGAGCGACAAATTTTCTTGCCAAAGGTATATATTACTTGATTATGCTCTTGTTATTTGTTTATATTTTTATGATCATGAATAAGTTGTAATGCAGGTAGATGCAGTGGTCTACTTGGTGGATGCCTATGACAAGGAAAGATTTGCCGAGTCAAAAAAGGAGCTAGATGCTCTCCTGTCTGATGAATCATTGGCAAATGTCCCTTTCCTTGTCCTTGGAAACAAAATAGATATTCCATATGCTGCTTCAGAAGATGAGTTACGTTACCATTTGGGCCTGAGCAACTTCACAACTGGCAAGGGTAAGGTAAATATGTCAGACTCAAATGTCCGTCCCATGGAGGTATTCATGTGCAGTATTGTGAAGAAGATGGGTTATGGTGAAGGTTTCAAATGGGTTTCTCAATATATCAAATAGTCCTTTAGTAAGAGATGGCTTGGTATCTCATATATCTTTTAAGTTTGTTTCTGTACTTATGAATTGGAGGTGTTGTTGGTATGAAATTACTGTTCAAGAAATTGCAGTATATTTCAATTTTCATTCATAAAAATATGACTGGGAACCCACAGTAAATTTTCAGATTATTTTTCATTTCTAAAATATTTAGATGCTCAAACCTTACGCAAGTTCAACTTATTTTTCTAGATCTTAAAGATCACACTATATTTCATTGCTGAACTTATTGGGTTGACATTGAGACATATTACCGAATCAATGAAGAAATAATGCATAATATAGCAATGTTTGAAAATTGCAAATCTTCATATAGCACTTGTATACTCAACAAAGTTTTCCCATGCAATACAATATACACCCTTTGTTTCTTTTTAGCATTGTTTTAAGGTTACTACTCTTTTTTATAATACAATTAAGGGTAATGTTAACTTGTGTCCCAAGGGCACAAGTTAAGTGACTAATATAGTAAAAATTTATTGGAAATTGTGTATTAAATTTAATACAAGTTTAACATTAATGATTTTATTGTTTTTTCCAATACTTATTTTCTATTTGTGGATTTTTTAACATTGTCCCAAAGGTACAAGTTAACATTATCTTACAATTAATTATTTATTATTTTGTCTAGCTTGTATCTATCTTTGTAATAAACTATTCATAATATTATTATTTAGTGTTTTAAAATGGATGACTAAATAGTATCAACATTTTTGTAAAAACACCAATTCAAAAGAAGGAACGATATGAAGGGAATCAATACAAAAATTCCAAAGTGTTGCTCATGAAAATGATCAAACACATCCAACCTCGTTAATTTTTGCCATAATATTTTTAGAATTGCAATTTTCTATTATTTTGCTAATCTAGAAGTGTTAAATATTATGAAAAGTAAATTAAGGGTGAAAGAGAAGAAACAACGAACTTGCCAAGTTCAATCTAGTGTGGTGACCACATGATATCCCATAAGTTATTTTGTTTAACGGCTTTTAATCATAATCGCCATATACCTATACTCCATTGTATTCAACCTTTAAAGGCATCTGAAAAATGAATAATTGTTAAATAAAGCATACGAGCTAATGTTGTAAGGGGATGTAGCTCAGATGGTAGAGTGCTTACTTAGCATGCAAGAGGTATGAGGATTGATATCCCGCATCTACATCTTTTACTTTGACTAATATTGAGTGATAACAAACTCTTGCCCAATTGAAATCCACTATAGGGACACATGGAGAGATTACTTGCAATGGGTGAGCAAGAAGCCATGAGTGATAACAAACTCTCGCCCAATTGAAATCCACTATAGGGACACATGGAGAGATTACTTGCAATGGGAGAGCAAGAAGCCATGAATTCACACGCTTTGTTTATACTAAAAGTAATGTCTAACTTGAAGGTGAGAAAAAAACCCAAGAATGAGGGGTTTAAATTGTGTTATCCATTTTTTACTTTGCTTATGAACAAAGTTCAGATTCTAAACTAATATTTAGATTCTGATTAATGTTGCAGTAGAATAATAACATAAACAAATAAATAAGAACATAACACACAAAGATTTATCCTAGTTCCTCCCAAACTGATAGTAGTCCAGTCCCCTTGCAGCACAATAGGTTTTTTGCTATAATCAAATCATGATTACAATTGCTTATACACTCAAGTATAAGATTTTACTTGCTCAGACCCTCAGCCTAAGACTTCCTACTTAAACCCTTCAGGTTCAAGACTTTGTGCTTAGATTCCACGAATGAATCCAAGACTTCCTGCTTAAACCCCTAAGGTTCAAGACTTTTGCTCATACCCACAGTCCAAGACTTCTCTACTTAAATCCCACAGATTCAAGACTTCTGCTCAAATCCACGGTTCAAGACTTTCTTGCTTAAATCCCACAGATTCAAGACTTCTGCTCAAACCCCTCAAATTCAAGACTTCTGTTCAGACCCACGGTTCAAGACTTCCTTGCTTAAATCCCACGAATTCAAGACTTCTGCTCAAACCCCTAATGTTCAAGAATTCTTCTCAAACCCACAGTCTAAGACTTCCTTGCTTAAATCCCACGGACTAAAGACTTCTGCTTAAACCCCTCAGGTTCAAGACTTCTTCTCAGACCAACGGTCCAAGACTACCTTGCTTAATCAACAACTGATCAAGACTTCAATGCTGAAGCACATAGCAAGAGACTTACTTGGATCAAGCTAACACCAAGAGAGTTTGATGCTCAAGCACATAGTAAGAGAATTTCTTTCTAAACTGCTAGACAATCTGTTTAGCAGAATAAACAACAAGGTGTACTTGATATTCAATCAGAGGTAGATGGTAAATAACCATAACAAAGATCACAACACTTAAGATTTCTAAGATATTTAATGTCTAAGAAATCTTAAGCATTTGTACAATTTACAACATATAACAGAAATTATGCATACTCGATTGTGTTGTCATTGTTGATCTTGTTATTCTTTCATTCTAAGAGAAGCGTAAAACATTTATTTTCTTCTTGGTTCTCTTTCTTTATTTTCTTGTTGTTGATTTCAGATTGAATCTTCCGTTACTTATATAGCAGTTGTAAAAGAATAGTCGTTGGAAGAGATAACTTGTACAAGTGTCTTTGTTACTCCATAGTACTAAGAGACGTTGAAGATAGATACACCAAAAACGTCTTCCTTTTGATCTTGTATTATAGATCCGTTGAGAGTAGATATCCTTAAAACATGTCAACTTTTCTTGAGCCTTGTCAACACATACTCTAGCTAACAAACTGATTTGACATTGTAGCTTGCTTTCTGCAATACTGATAACTTAACTTAGTTCATGGTTCTGAAATACCACCAGAACCTGATACATTCACCAAGTGTAGAGACAATATATTTCTCAAACCAAGAGAAACTCCAATAATTCTCCGAAGAGAATTCAATAATGGTCATTTGACCACTAAAAATGATTTCTCAAACAAAGAGAAGTTCAAATAATTCTCCAAAGAGAATCCAAAAAATTAATACTTGTAATTTCTTAACTCAAACGAGGAGAAATTAACATAATTCTCTAAAGAGAATTCAAGAAAATACTTGGAAAATTCAATAGTAGAAAGAAAAAGGGAAAATTTGACGCTTCAACAACTCGAAAGACGCAGAGTTATGAGAGCGATGAAGGAAAAACTCAAAATAAGTTTTTGGTGTATTTTAGAATGAAATAGATAATTTCCGTATATAATGAAGTGAGGAAGGAAATATATCTCACATAAGCAATGTGAGACTAAAGAGTTTTTTCAACTAACACACAATGTGAGACTTGACTTAAAGAACTTTTTTGAAATTTATCTCCCTATATTAAAATATTGACATGATATTCCAACAATCTCCCACTTGAATTTAAAAAAGTATTTTAGAAGTAATGTTAAACGTTTCTAAGATTGTGCATAAACAAAGAGGTTTACGACATAAACCTTTGTATAACAAGTAGGATTTAGATTTAACAAGAGTGACACAATTGTCTTGAACTCTATCTCAGACATTAAACTCGCACACAATCTTTTCTTAAGGTGTATTCTAATAGCCCGTGCTTTAATGGCCTTGCACGTGTATCCCGATTTAGTGAATGCTCTAGAAATTCTGCCTCAAAATTCCATTGGAACCAACCTAAGTTCCACAATCACAAAGGTGAGTTTATCAAGAGTACTCATGTAGCCTAGGTACTCCCTCATACAGAGTATAGATCTCATTAAGAGCTTTCATTATCTCATCCTCTTATTACTTCAGGATTCATGCTTCATTTGCATGATAATCTCATATTGCTCACAACTTGTTATTACCCATTGAACCTATTTCTTTGGATCTCCAGTCATCTAGGTCGGGTCACCATCATGAGAAACTCATTTCTTTATAGGCATTAGTTCCATCTTATTGGATGTATTATGGACTTTCTTTCTAGCTAATCCTTTCGTCAAAGGATCTGCTAAGTTTTCATCAGTGCGTACATGATCCACTCTTACATCTACTTTATAGATACAGTCTCTAACAGTGATGTGCTTTGTTCTAATTTGACGTTTTTTTACCATTATAATAACGGTTTTAAATTTTTGTAATAACCGCAGCACTATCACAGTGGATCAACGCAGCTGGCATATGTTTTTCTCACTGAAGGATCTTTGCTAGCAAGCATCTTAACCAACTTGCTTCTTCACTAGTTGTGGCTAGTGCTATCATCTCAGACTCCATTGTGGACTGAGCTAGGATAGTCTGTTTCTTTGATTTCCAAGATATCGTTCTTCGAGCTATACTAAATACATAGCCACTAGTAGCTTTGGAATCATCTGATAAGGTGTTCCGATCTGCATCACTGTATCCTTCTAGTACATCAGGAAATTTCTGGTAATGTAGGCTGGGATCCATGGTCCTTTTAAGGTACCTCATGACTCACTCAATATCTTTCCAATGCTCGTTACTCGATCTACTCGTAAACCTGCACAACAATCCTATGACATATGCAATGTCGAGTCTAGTATAATTAGTGGTATACCTAAGACTACCAATGATGCTCACATATTCTGTTTGTATGACACTTTCATCAGTGTTCTTAAACAATTTTACACTTGGATCATATGGTGTGCACGCAGGTTTACAATCAAAGTATTTCTATTTCTTTAAGATCTTCTCTACATAGTGTGATTGATCAAAAGAATTCCTTGTTCGGATCTCGTGATCTTGATACCAAGGATCACACTTACTTCTATGAGGTCTTTCATATCAAAGTTGCTGCACAATAATAATTTCATATCATTAATGGTCTGAATATTTGATCCAAATATGAGTATATCATATACATAGAGACATATGATAGTGCATATGGGATTCTCAGATTTCTAATAAGCGCATTTTCACTTTTATTCACTTTGTACTGATTCAATATCATTAAGTTATCAAATTTTTCATTCCATTGCTTAGGAGCTTATTTTAATCCATACAGAG